CCTCATCCAGAGCCACGCCCCACCCAAAGCCCCGCCCTCATCTTGGGCCCCTCCTTCATCCAGAGCCCCGCCCTCGTCTTGGGCCCCTGCTTCATTCAGGGCCCCGCCCTCGTCTTGGGCCCCTCCTTCATCCAGGGCCCCGCCCTCGTCTTGGGCCCCTCCTTCATCCAGAGCCCCGCCCTCGTCTTGGGCCCCTTTTTCATCCAGGGCCCCGCCTCGTCCAGAGCCTCTCCCGAGACCTTCCCTTTTTCTCTCCGTGGCAGGAAATCAAGAAAGCTCAAGGCACCAGCCGCACCTGACGGATGCCCCAGCCTGCTTTCATTCCGTGGGATGCATTCCAGGCCTTGCCCCCATTCTGGGGTGCCCCCGCCTGGGTCTGCAGCCCAGCTCCCGGCAGCTCCGGCCAGTCTCGGCCTGGGCACTGCCACGAGTCTCAGGCCCAGACGGCCCGGGAGGCTCCCACACCACCCTCCTGGCCTGGCTCAGAGCCCGCCCGCAGGTGCACGGCACTCCACAGTGACCGCCGGCTGTGACTCTGATCGGCTGCCCGCTCGGCTCGTCCTGCCCAGTCAGAGCTGGGGCTGACACTGTAATAAAATAACCACTGGTTAGCTTGTTGAGAAAGTGACATGGGACTGGGGCAGTGGGGCGTGGCTGGGCCCTCCTGAGCGAAAGGGCCCCGGTCTCTGCCTGCTCGTGGCGTGGTGGGGTGCGCTGCCTGCAGCAGGGGAGGTGGTTCTCCCTGAACAGAGAGCCTGGAACACTGTCCCCGGAGCCAGGAGTGTGGTCCCACCCACCCAGGCCCACTGTCCACCATCAGGGTCCTGGCCGAAGGCTCCTGGCTCCTTCCCAAGTGAGCTTTGTCAGCTTCCCGCAGGGTGGGCTGGGAGTCCAGGAGGGCCCTCCAGGGAGCCAGCACAAGGGGCTGCTGGGTGCTGGCTGAGGGTGACACGGGGTGGGTTGTCTGGGCTGGGACCGCTTCCTGTCCAGGGGCCCAGGTGGGTGAGTGATCGGGGTGGAGTTACCAGGAAGCAGCCTCACCCCACTGCTGCCCCAGGCTGCTGTGAGATCAGAAGGGTTGTGACCAGCTTCACAGACGCTAGCTCGGCAGGTGGGGAGGGCTCCACGTGACACCCTTTTTAGGCCACATGTGAGCACGCTGCAGTGCCCACGGCCAGCACCTGGGGGTGCTGGGGGCACACGGCCTAACCCTGGCTGTTTTCCATTCCATTCATTTCTCTGGCTGCAGACGGAACTGGGACATGCTGCACTTGGGGGTGATTGCTGATCAGGGGAGACCACTCGGGCACCGCGGGGGTGCCACTGTCGCCTGCCCAGGTGGTGGGAGCTGGGCTGTCGGCGTGGTCTGTTCCTGTCAGCCTTGTGCATGCCCCCCTGGCCCAGCCCACTGTGCCTGGGGCAGTGCAGGGATGGGGACACCTGCTGGGGTTCCCCGTCTCTGCAACCGCGGAGTCTGGAAAGCCTGGTGTCCCGGGCCAGGAAGAGACACCCAGCAGGAGTGCTGGCCCCTTAACTTCCCGGGACACGAAGCCTCTCCCATTCTCTCCTTCCGGCCCCAGCTTCTGGAGGTAGTGTCCCCGCTCTGGCTGCATTTCCAGGGTTCCTGAGATTGCCCTGGGGTTACATGAAGAGGCGTTCTGTGGGGTGGTGGTCTGGCTGCTGACCCGCCTGGGGCAAGCCTGGTGTTTTGTTCCCTCGACCTCCCCCTTCCGAGCCCCTCCCCTCAGTGTCTCTTCCTCCCTTCCTGTTGGGCCCAGGATAGCAACCAGGGCTAGACAGTGCAGAGTACTCAGTGGGAGGCAGGAGATCGTGTGCCATCAGGGGGCCCCCAGCCCAGCTGTGGGATATGTCCTGGCAGGCTGCTCCAGGTCCCCCTTTCTCTGGGTGTGGAGGAACACGCCTGGGATGTGACCCAGACTGAAAGACAAGGCAGGAGATGGGATCGGGCAGGCAGGGGGACCCAGGGCCCGGATGCACCAAAGAGGTGGGTGGGTGAGGGCCTGACCCCAGAAGCTGCTGCTGGGGGGAGAGGTTGGGCAGCTTGTGAGGGTGGGGCGGGGCTGGCTTCCATTACCTGCTGTGCAGCCTTGGGAAGCGCTTTCCTTCTCTGGGCCTCAGCCCCAAGGTCTCTGCCGATGGTGGAGGAGTGCAGTGCCCTGCCACCCAGCCCCAGGGACAATCGCAGGGATTCAGCCCCCAGCTTTGGTGGGAACAATGAGGCCCTTGAAGGCCCCCTCCTCCCCCTGCATTGTGCTTGGTGGTGAGAGGTGGCCCTGGGTCAGCCGCCTGCGCCACTTGGCCCCCAGGACTCGGCTGTGGGCGGGCACACGCCCTGGGGTGGACCACAGTCAGCCAGCAGGTGGATGGGTTCAGACACCAGCTCTTGCATTTCCTGGCCTGGAGAAGGTAGGGCCCCTCCCCTGCGGGGAGCCCGGTGTGCTCGGCAGTTTGGAGCACATCATGGTACAGTCTGTCCTGCTTAGAACCTGGGAGGGAGGCCCAGGAGCTCCGGGGCATGGCCAGGAAGCCAGAGCCGGTCAGCAGAAGGGATGCTGGGTCCCCCGGGGCTTGCCTTTCCCCACATACCTCCTCTGCCCCCACTGGTTTCCTCGGCTTGGGGGGCGGGGGCAGGAAATGGCCACTGGGTGCAGGAGCCAATTCCTTGGCCATCCCATCCCCTCTGCATTTGGGGGCTTCATTCTTGCTGTCTGTCCATCTCGGGCCGAGTTGTGTCTGTGGTTAGGTGAGGCCTGCAGGGTCTTGTAGAAGGTGATGGGGCCCGCGGCGTGGGGAGCAGGAGGCAGCAATTCCCCGCCCTGGGTCGCTGGCGCCTGCCCTTGGGAACCACCACAGCCCCCCACCCCCACCCCCCAGCAGCTGGGGCCCCTCAGGCTGCAGGAAGACCGCCAGCCCCCTCCAGCACCAGCTGGGGCCCCTCTGTCTCAGGAGGGCTGCCAGCCCGGCTCCAGCACCAGCTGTAGTGTCTGCAAAGTCCCGTCCTTCCAGGCCTGTGGGGGCGGGGGGAGTCCCTAGGGCACCAGGCCCAGCCCCCAACCCTCAGAGCACTCCTGGAGACTTGTGAGGAGGGGCCCTTCCAGGAGGCCTGAGCCGATGGGGAGGTCCTTCCCCGCTGAGGGAGACCGGCCCAAAACCACAGGGAGTCAGGCCCCACCCACCCCCTTACACAGATGGGTAAACTGGGCCCCTGCTGCACACAGCGCCCAGCAGGGGCCGAGCCCGGCTCCGTGCGGACCTACCAGCCCCTCAGCTCCAGGCGTGTCCACCCTCAGCATGGTGTTAGGGCCCAGGTACTCTCCTCGGTCTCGGCCCCAGAGACACAGGAGTGAGTAAAGCAGACCCCTGCCCTCCGGGACCTGACGGTGCAAACCACAGACCCTGTAAGTAAGGTGCGGGCACCACTGTCAGCGGGTTGCCTGGGGCAGGCTGCGTGGAGGTGACATTGAGGCGGAGATTGGAGGGGAGCGAGGAGGAATGTGCGAGGCTGGGGCTGCTGGCCGGCTGTCTGGACCACTCCCAGGCCAGCCTGGGGCCGTCCCTCCATCCCCACACCTCTCCTCTGGGAGTCCTCTGGTGCCCAGGCCAGGCAGAGCACACAGGGGCCCTGCCTTCTCAGGACGGTCTGGGCCTCCTTGGGGAACTCCAGGGCTGGGGCTCTGGCCTCTGGGCAGGCTTGGCCACCCCTGGCCGGCCCACTCTGGGGCCGGAGTGTGGAAGGGGAGAGCAGGCAGGACTTAACAGGCCCCCAGGCCCCTGGCCAGGATGGGAGACTCAGAACTTAGATACAGTGCAGCCGAAGGCTGGGCACGGGGTACCGCTGAGAGTGGCCCGGATAGGAGTAGCGGAAACGGGCAGGGGGGCAGAGATGCTGGGGCTGAGGGGTCAGGAGGGCTCCTGCTGTCGCTGCCACCACTGCAGATGGGACCATGACCGTCCCTGGTCCCACGGGGAGCCTGGGCGCCTCACTACCCCTTAGTCCCCCTCCCCGACCAGAGCTCCTGTCCCCTGGGGCTCTGGCCTGGGGGGGGGGCGGGCGGGGGGACCTGTCCACTCAGTAACTACTACAGGGGAGTGTGGGTGGGGCTGCGACGGGGGAGCAACTCCGGTCCCCTCACCCTTCCAGGCACGGAGAGACCTTATCTGCGCAGGGGAGGGAGCGGATGAGCCCGCAGAGGGGCAGCGTGTGCAGTCAGGGGCATCGAGAGGACAGATGTCAGTGAGTGGGTGTGTGTCGGTGAGTGTGTTCACGTGTGTGTGTGAGCGTGAGTGTGTGGGAATATTGCATGGGTGCGCGTGTGTATCGTAAGAGGGGGTGTAATATGCGTGTGTGAGTATTGTGAGAGTATTATAAGTGTGAGTACAGTGTGTGTGTCTGTGTTCACATGTATTGTGGGAGTGAGTGTGTAAGAGGGAGTATAATGTGCATACGTATCAGGTGAGGGGGGATATACTCCGTGTGAGTGTGTTCACGTGTCGTGTAAGAGCATACTGTGCCTGTGTGTGTGTGTGTGTGTGTGTGTGTGTGTGTGAACCAGCGTGCACAGACTGGATGAGGCCAGCATTGAGGTGGCAGGAGCAGGTCATGTGGGCCCAGGCCTTGCAGGGACTGAGGCCTGGGGCCTGGCTGGGGGCATGTGGCAGCTCCCTCTGCTGCCTGTGGTTGGGGAGCGTGGGGCACGGGGCTGTGGTGTGAGGGGCAGCCAGGCCGAGCTGTGGTGCTTCCCTCAACCCCACAGGGATGAGACCCACCTTGGGGCTGCTCCTGGGGTGCTCCTGTGTGAATGAGAGCTACTTGCCCTTATGGGGACACCCCAGTGCCAGGCCATATGCCCGGGTCCCTTCATCCTGTAGGAAGGGAGTGGTCCCCTCCAGTGGCCCTGCCCAGCAAGCTATGCAGCCCTTGGCCCTCAGGGCAGGCTTGGGCGGGAGCCCCAGCACACCAGGAAGGCTGCCGCCAGAGGAAGCCCACGGCCTGCCTGCCCTGCCCAGAGAGGGGGCCCTGGCGCAGGAAGCGGAGGCTGGGCAGGGGGGCGGGGAGGAAATACCTGGGCAGGGCTGGTGGCCACTGCTCTATGCCCTGCCCTCACCCTGGGGCCCGCCCCCTCCTGGAGAACACTAGTTTTCAGACCCAGGGGTGAGCAGGTCTCCAAGGGGGCAGGAGAACCCAGCCCAAGCCTGCCACCCACCAAAGACACCATCCGGGAGGTGGTCCCCAGCGGGCCTAGTCAGACCCTAGAGGAAGCATTGGTTGCAAAGTGGGGCAAGACCACCCAGACACCTGTGGGCTCAACACCTCTGCCTACTACCCTCTGCACCCATGGAGAACATCTCCTCCCGCCTGGAGCCTCCCCAGCTAATGATCCCCCACGCCCTGGTCCTGGGAGCCCCTCAGGCTGGCCCCATCCCTCACTGCTTTCCCTGGTCAGCTCATGGCCTTGGCAGGCACACTGGGGAGGCACAGGAGGATGGAGCTGGGAGGCGCAGCACCTGACCCCGTGGGAAGCCTCCGAGGACCTGTGACTCCTCCCCTGCACCCACACCGTCTTCCACCAAACGCCAA